ACGGTGCTGCTGTGCTCATTTTACAGGTGAAGAGACCGAGGCTACTGGAGGCCTAGTGGCTTGTGGGAGGCTCCACAGCCAGTAAGTGGCCTAGTGGAGTCTGCATCAGATCCGGCAGTCCCTGATTCAGAGACATTTTTCCCTCCAGCTCTAGCTTTTCCTGAGCCAAGCTTGATCTCCTTAGTGAGGCCCAGGACTGGAGTGTTGGAAGATTTAGGGGTGTGTGGAGGGACCATAGGGGTCCACCCTGCAAGTCTTAAGCCAAGCCCTGGGGGTTCTTGGGTGACTCAGAGCCAGCACCTCAGCTCTTTCGAGGCATGAGGGGTGGGTTCCAAGAGGCAGCTGCCTCCGTCGATGTGTGCAGCAGAGGTGCCGTCCCTTGGGGCATCTTTCTTGATCTGCCCAAACCACTGAGGCCCCTTCCCTGCCCACGGCTCCAGTCTCAGCTTTCACAGAGGGGCTGTGGGGCTCTGTGAGGCTGTCTCTCCCCAAGGCATGGGGATTCTGACAGCCATATCTCCCGGATGGACCCCACTCCCACCCGGTATTGAGTTCCTGTAGCCATAACAAATTCCCATAAACTTAGTGGCTTATAACAGGACAAATTCTTTATCCTACAGTTCTGTGGGTTAGGAAACCTAAATAGGTCTCACTTAGCCAGACTCAAGGTGTCAGTTGGGCTGCATGTCTTTTTCTGGGGGCTTTAATAGAGAAACCAATTCCTAGCCGGCGCCGTGGCTCAATAGGCTAATCCTCCACCTTGCGGCGCCGGCACACCGGGTTCGAGTCCCGGTTGGGGCGCCGGATTCTGTCCCGGTTGCCCCTCTTCCAGGCCAGCTCTCTGCTATGGCCAGGGAGTGCAGTGGAGGATGGCCCAGGTGCTTGGGCCCTGCACCCCATGGGAGACCAGGAAAAGCACCTGGCTCCTGGCTCCTGCCAGGATCAGCGCGGTGCGCCGGCTGCAGCGGCGGCCATTGGAGGGTGAACCAACGGCAAAAAGGAAGACCTTTCTCTCTCTGTCTCTCTCTCTCACTGTCCACTCTGCCTGTCAAAAAAAAAAAAAAAAAAGAAACCAATTCCTGCCCATTCCAGCTGCTGGTCACCCCTGCTGTCCTTGGCCTCTGGCCCCTTGCTCCATCTTCAAAGGAGTTTCCTGTAGTGGCAGCTCCCTGGGAAGGCCTCTCTTGCCTCCTCCATCCTCACCTAAGGACCCCTGTGGTTACAGTGGGCCTGTGCAGATAATCCAAGAAAATCTCTTTTATTTTTTTCAATATTGAGAGAGAGAGAGAGAGAGAGAGAGTTTCTGTCTGCTGGATCACTACCCAAATAACCTGCAATAGCCAGGGCTAGGCCAGGCGGAAGCTGAAAACCTGGAACTTACTGTGGGTCTACACATTAGCAGGAAGGTGGAATTGGTTGCAGAGCCAGGATGCAAACCTAGACACTACGGTATGTGGTGCTGGCAATCCAAGTGGAGTCGTAACAGCTCAGCCAAACGCCCACCCCAGTCTATTTCAAAGTGAGTAGCAACCTCAGTTACGTCCATAGTCTCATTCCCTTTACCGTGGAACACAACACACTCACAGGCTCTGTGCATTAGGATGTAGCCATCTGAACTCCACAAATTAGTCTGCCTGCTACTCCCAGCCTCTCCCCTGGGTTTTCCAAGAACCCCGTGCCAGGCCGAGTCAGGATGTGCCTGCCGCTGTCTGAGGTCCTTTCTGCCCAGGTGTCCTCCCTCCTCCTGCTCCTCAACTCAACCTGTCCTGGATTCCTCCTCCCAGGCTTAGGAGGGAGGAGCTGAGCAGGAAGTGCTCGCAGGTATGGACATGGAGAAGAGGGAAGCCAAGGCGGGCCTGTGGGCAGCATAGGACAGAAGTGTCTGGGCAAGGCCTTTGGCCCTAAAGTAGAGTGACCAACTGACCCTGAGTTGCCTGGGACGTTCATAGTTTTGTCACTGAAAGTTCCAGATCCTAAGAGATACCTCAGTCTCGAGCAAACAGAAGAGTTGGTCATCCCATCTCCAAGGCCGTCTGCACCCCACCACCTACTCCCCGCCACTCCTGTAGCCTCCACAGCCCCCTCTTTCCAGGCTCCTGGATGCTAGAGACCTGAGGGTTGAAGGAGGACCCCAGCCAGTGCTTGCAGCAGTCCCAGCGCAGGCTTTGCCTGTAGACACTGTGCCTGTGTCCGCCCAGGCCAGAGCTCCTCGATCCACGCACAGGAAGTGAGAAAATATGTTTGAGCCGAAGCCTCCAAACAGTGAGCAGCCTGATTGTTCGCGGGTGTTGTGTTGCAGGTGGCTTCAATAAATGTCTTAGTGTGCTCCTCTGGAGTTCTGCCTCCTTGTACAATGAAACCACCTTCCTTCTACTTGTGTGCAATTTTAATAAAAGAAAGCCAGTAATGCGTCAGACTCCCACCTCCAGTTCTGCAGGGACCTGGGCGGGTTGTGCTCCGTGTCCTGCCCCATGGCAGCAGGTTGGTCACGGCCTGTTCTGGACAGGGCTCTACTGCAGGGACAGCACTAGCTAGTCCTCCCTGCCCCTCCCCCCTCCTCACCCTGCTGCTCCTCAGCCTGATTCCCTGCACCCCAGAGTCCAGCCTACTCATCTTGTACCCCAGCTCCTGGGGTACAAGATCTCAGCAGAGCAGGTGAGTCTGTGAACAGGTACTAAACAGCTTTGGCTGACCAGTGAGAGATGGCTGCAGGGCCAGTCGTAGCTGGGCAGTGAGACAGTGGGAGACTTGCACTGCTGGCCCTCAGAGAGCCTGCAGTCCACTGAAGAGATCCAGTACACCCAGACCTTGTGGGGACAGGGACAGATGGTGAGGCTTTGCCTGTGAGGGCTGTCAGAGACAAGATAGGGGAGGGTCCCAGTCTGCTTCATACATGCCTTAGCACAGCCCGAGGCTGAGATGGGGTCCTCTCAGGGACCACAGGGGCCAGGATAGATGGCCTCCCGGGCCCAGAGCTCTTGACGGCTACTTTTTGGCAGAAGAGAGGTGGTGAGCAGTCACTAGGCCTTTCCAAGTCTTAGAAAGCCAGATACTCCTTCAGACCCTCCTGCTGGCCCTCGGACCCTCGTCATGGGTAACTCAACTTCCTGTCGTCCAGCTCCCCTCCCCACACAGACAAGTGCAGCTAGAACACTTAGAGGGGGCTCCTGGGTCCCCATGAGAGGCAGCCACTCCGCCCTCCCCAGCCCATGGTCCTGGTGTGGCCAAAGTGACAGGACTCCTTACCTAGTTCATGGTTTTAGAAAACTGACAGTTCCAGCCGGCGCTGTGGCTCAATAGCCTAATCCTCCACCTTGCAGTGCCGGCACACCAGGTTCTAGTCCTGGTCGGGGCGCCGGATTCTGTCCCAGTTGCCCTTCTTCCAGGCCAGCTCTCTGCTGTGGCCAGGGAGTGCAATGGAGGATGGCCCAAGTGCTTGGGCCCTGCACCCCATGGGAGACCAGGAGAAGCACCTGGCTCCTGACTTCGGATCAGCGCAGTGCGCTGGCTGCAGTGCACCGGCCACGGCGGCCATTGGAGGGTGAACCAACGGCAAAAGGAAGACCTTTCTCTCTGTCTCTCTCTCTCACTGTCCACTCTGCCTGTCAAAAAAAAAAAGAAAGAAAACTGACAGTTCCAACCTAATGACTTCCTCCCTGCCCAAGGGCCCTGTGTCTGCACAGCCCGCCTGTCATGCAAAGTCAGCTCTCAGAGAAACCTGGACATGATTCCCCACCCTAGGCATGAGCCCGGCTCCCGAGCTGAGTCCTGCCTGGACCCCAGCCCTCTGTGAGCCAAGGGTAGCTGAGGCATGTGATGCTGTGGGGCTTTCCCGGCCCTGGGCAGCCTCAGGATCAGTGCGTAGAACATCTGGACAGCCCCTCATCCACATGGCTTTGAGGGAGCAGCAGGAGGGCAGATGCAGGGAGCGGGACCCAGGCCAGTCCAGAAGCCCAAGGCTGCCTCTCAGCTGACTTTGGAGGGTCAGGAAGGGCCGTCCCTGAAGCAAGCCTGCCGCCAGGTCTGAGTGCCTGAACCAGGGCAGTGACTAGCCAGCTGCCAGGGCCACTGGGCTCTCTGAGGGACTCAGAAGCTAGAGTTGAGCTTACCAGAGCCCCAGGGTCCGAACCGGCCATGTAGCTGGCAGTAAGGACGTGCCCCTGAGTGGTCCTGGCTCTTACTATCAATCACCCAGAGCCCAGACCTCAGGCGTACCCCAGGCCTCATAAGGGGCCTGGCTTGCAGCAGGGACACATGAGGCCTTGCCTAGACAGAGCATAGCTGAAAAGTCCTCTGTGCTCCCCAGAGCGGAGGGAAGGCCTCAGCCAGAGTCCCCTGCTGCTGGGAGCAGGCTGTGTGGCTGAGCTTCCCCCTGTGCTGGGCCAAGCCTATCTATGTTTCAGCCCCCAGGGCCCCACCCCTCGAATTGCAGGTAGTCTCCTGGGCATAGGTGGGGCCTTGCTTCCCTGGGGGTCCAAGCCAGACCCCACCCTGCTGGAGGCCTGTAGCAGCAGAGCCCATGTTACCTGGGGTGTCAGGAGTGGGCAAGGGCAACACAACAGCCACAGCTTTTGCTGCCTTCCATTCGTGTCCCCCAGTGCTTTCTTGACCCCCAGTTGCTAGTATTCTGCCCCAAACTTCCTCCCCGGGCTTGTTTCCTCCTCTGCAGGCAGCTGATACCGTGGAACCTACCTGGGTTCTGGGCATGGAGAGATAGGGGCGGGAGTCCAGGCTCCATACCGAGGAGCTGAGTCATCTTGGGCAAGCCGCCTGTGCCTGTTGCGCATTGATTTCCTGGTTGGTGAAGGAGGTGGGGGGAGTGCCTGTTCCATGGTGCACGCAGGGGGCTGGGCACAGCACCTGGCACAGTGTGAGCACCCCAGGCCTATGCTGTCCTTATCTATCTGGACTCTGAGGTCTTTCCATTCTCATCTCATGTGGGCATCATCGCCTTGGGTGAAAACTGGTGAGCTGGAGCTCCCCCTCTTTCACTGTCCCAGTGTCTTCAGACTTAAATTAAATTCAGCATAGACTCTGAAGGCCAGCCTCACCGCTCAGCCAGCTGAGGCAGGGACTTCTGCAATCCCGCCTCCAGAAAAGCAGCAGAGATGTGTCTCTTGGGAGCTGCCTGGATCCAGGAAGACCAGGTAACCAGCCTGCCGAGCCCTTGTTCTGTCTTCGACTTAGCCCTGCCTGAAGGGAGCCTTGGATGATAAAGCCATATCCTACCCTGCTAGGTTCTTTCACCCCTGGAAGAAGAGTTTGTGAGCTCCCTGGTTACCCACCCAAGCTTCCTGCCTATGTGGCAGCTGGCAGGCAAATGGAAGGGTTTGTGCTGAGTCCTGATGGACTGCACACATCCCCAGTATGAAGTGAGTCACACTCAAGTGAAGAAATAGCGTGACAGAGACAAAGCTGGCAGTAGGGGCACTGTGTTAGCTCTGGGTCCTCCAGCAGGGCTCCCTCGAGAAGTCTCTTGCACACCAACACAAGAGCGGGTTTGGGATCTGTGCAAACAGCGTGAAAGAAGACCAAGTGGCCCCAGAGATTCTGACCGTCTGGACACGAGCCAGCCCTTCCAACCAAGTACATCACTTGCCTAGCAAAGGACTCCACCTCTCATCAGGCTCAGGGCCATCGTATCAGTTCTGTCCTTGGCAGGCCTTCCTGGAGACATCCAAGGAGATCTGAGAAAGTTGTTATCTTTGGAGCTATGGCAGTCGCAACACCCTGCATGCAGCGCCCTGAAAGATGCCAAATGCTGATGCAAGGGATGGTTTGTGTACCAGCCTCGCGCTTTCGTCCTGTTGCCAAGTGAGCTGCACAAAAGAACAAAAACACAGCCCAGCCAAAGTGCCACTTTTGGATCAAGCAAGGAAACCCTGTGACTAACCACAAGTGCCCTTGGACATGTGCAACACTTGACCCATCGTAGGAGTTCTCATTGGTGTGGTAGAGCCCCACGTGGGCAGTTCACTGCATTGGAAAGCGGGCCTTCAGGAAAATGATGTCATCATAACCCCCATTAAAACAAGTCTTCCAGTGGCCACCTGGCTCATCAACCAAGAGCTTCCACCAGCGGTGCTTAGAAACTCTTGAGAGTGACTCAGGGCAGTGCTGGCACGTCCTCAGAATGATGCAAAATCCTTAGGCCCAAGTTCAGTTCCATCCCATGCATTGTTTGACTGAAGGGTTAATGTCAGCTTGGCCCTGCCCTTGGACGAGCAGTCAGACCTCAGTGTTTCTGTTTTTGGGTGAGGACTGAGCCCATATGGGATGATGACATAGCTCTCCCTCCTGGATAATCTGTCTCAGTCCCACACTCTCCCTCCAGGCCTCATCTCTAGGACATGGTGTCCTTATGGCAGGAGTGTGACATGTGGGGGTCCCTTCCTGGACATTCCAACGAGTTGGCCCCCATCACTTAGGACTCCTAGGACTGGAAGACCTGGTTCTGAAGACTGGACCTCATTCTTCTCATGTTTTGCTAATTTACTTTAACTTTGCTTATGGAGCTTGAGAGATTCCGTGGCTGCCTGGGACTTAACTGTACCCACTTCCTATCCTCCACCAGGGGTCAAGTTCAAGGACAGAAAGGGAACAGAAGCCAGAGAAGGCCATGCTGCCTGTTCTGAGTTGCATCCCTCCCTCCCATGACTCAGAGCCCTCTGCCTGGTTCCACAATACCCCGGCCATCACTAACAGAAAAAGCCACCCCATCTGATTCTTCATAGTCCTTGAGGAACTGGGTAAGGCCACCTTGTCTCTCCCTCTGCCCCCAGGTGAGATTACTCTTAAAAGATTCAAAAGGGGACCAGTGTTGTGGTATAGTGAATGAAGCCACCACCTACAGTGCCAGCATCCTATATGGGCTCCAGTTCATGTCCTAGCTGTTCCACTTCTGACCCGGCTCTCTGCTAATGTGCCTAGGAAAAGCAGCGGAAGATGGCCCAAGTGTTGGGCTCCTGCCACCCAAGTTGAAGAACTGGATGAAGCTCCTGGCTCCTGGCTTCAGCCTGGCCCAGCTCTAGGTATTGTGACTATCTGGGGAGTGAACCAGCAGATAAAAGATCTCTCTCTCCCTTTCTCTTGTAAGTCTTCCAAATAAATAAAGTTTTAAAAAAAATTTAAGAAGATCCAGGTGAATCTTCTGATGGGCAGGGTTTGTATTCAGGTACCCACATACAGAGGAAGACCCACCCAGCAGGAGCCCTCCTGTCTCACACAGCATCTCCAAGTCCAGGGACCAGTGTTCTGAGCTTGACTGACATTAAGCTCATTTTCCAGTTCTCATCATTTTCTCACTCTGCCTTCCCTCCCCACCAAGGGCCCACATGCCTTCCAGAGTGACAGCCTAGGAAGGGAGTCACAGCCCACCTGGTTTCTGGGACTGAGAACCCAGAAGACACATCTGTCTCTGAGCAATGCCATGCCTTCCCCGGGTGGTGCCAGGGATGCCAGCCAGCTTCTCTGGGCCAGCTACCCCAACACTGGGTGTTGTTTATGCACCAGAGACTGCGGAGGGGAGACAGGACAAGCCCTTCAGCAAACCTTCCACCCGCCTACTTAAAGGGGCATTGTCCTATGTCTGCAGTCCCCAAACCGTGGTCTTCAGAAACTGTTCTGATCAGATATACCCCTTCTAAGGCATGTGGTGTATAAACAAAAACAAAACAAAACAAAAACCTATTTCATTTAAGGTTAAGGTTTTCCTAAGGCATTTGTGCATGGACCTGTCACAGTACCTTGCAACAATAGTTGTTGACTGTTAACATAGTAAAATTCTCTTGATGGGCAAGTTAACAGGCACAGTGACCTCCAACCCCTTAAGCCCCTCCTCCTCAGATCTACTGCCAATCCAGTATCTATTTGCAGCATCCAATATGGTAGCCACTGGCCACACATAGTTGTTTAAATCCCAATTAACTAAATAAAATTAAAACTCAGTTCCTCCATTGCACTGGCCATATTTCCAGTGCCCAGCTGTGACATGTGACTGGTGGCAGTGCATACTGTACGCATCAGTGCAGAAGAACTCTGCCATTACTCTAGAAATCAGACGGCAAGGAAGACGCAGCCCAGGAGCCCTTAGGGGCTGGTGTCTGTGCCTATCATCTGAAGATGTGTTCATCAACTGTGTACTTTTTGTAGTAACAGAAAGTTACTGTGTGTTCAGCAGGACACCAGATCGATGACATTCCTCAGAAGTCAAAACATAACACTCCCTAGGCCTAGGAGCCCAGACCTGACTCCCAGCTATGGCTGTGAAGGCAGCACCAACTGACCACGCCGACTGAGCACATCCCAGCGGTACCGCTGTCCCCGGCTCCTGCTACATTCCGGGTGAACAAATTCAGAGTCTCAGAATGGATGTGTTGTATGAGTTTACCCTAGAATCAGGCTCAGGCAGGAGGCCAATAATGAGTCCATCTGAATGTTTCCATAAAAAGTAAAATCATCTACAATTTCTCCCTTTAAAAAAAAAAGTCACACCCCCGGTAAACAATTAACTTTTTATAAAAAGAAAAATGTACATATTTACACACATGTCCATATGTAGTCACACATGACTTAGTGGTTAGATGGCATTTCCAATTTGAAAAGTCACATCGAGGCACTCACACTTCCCTCCCGGGGCCCAAGAGGGTGCTGGGCGCCGGGCAAGGCACTGTATAAATAAATGCAAAGGCCAAGAGCTTGGAGGAAACGTTAGTGTCCACCACCGAGCAGAAACAAGGCAAGGGCCACAGAGAAAGTGCCGTGTTTTTTCCCAAGCCCCTCAGCCGGAGCAGGGAGCAGGGCTGAGGGAGCACCACCCCACGGGTCCCCATCTCTCCTTCACATTTCACTGGCTTTGGAACAGTCCCCGGGCTCAGCTGGGAAGGGGGCGGTTCTTTGGGAAGAGAATTCACTTAGTGCAATCATCGTCTCTTAGTGCAGAGCCAGCCCTGGGATTGGTGCTGTTCTGAGGTCACTAGTCTATTCCCCTCAGGGCCAGCTCAGTGACAGCAAGACCCTCTCCAGACAGCTGGATTCAGAGAGAAAAGCAAGAGGCTGACTCCTGTCCAAGCCTCCCACCCGACACACCAATCTCAGACGGCATCTTCCCAGGTGGCAGGGTGAGTTTTCCTCTGAAAGACCAGCCCAGCCTGCCAGGCACCTGAGAAGCCACTGACCCAAGGGGGGAGGCCCCATCCTCACTTGGCAGTGGAGGTCACACTTTTCTATGTCAAGGGGCCTACAGAAGTCCAGCCTCTCTGCACCACAGCCACCATGATGACATGTCCTGCTCATCTAGGGGAGTAAGAAGAGGCCAGGGCCCAGCTACGGTGCACAAGGAATGGCCTGGATAGAAGGCAGCCTGACTTGGGGCAGCAGGCTGTCCAACCAGCTGCTGTCCATGTTCTTGAGATCTGTGAAGACGCGGTGTAGGCTCAGACCAATGTCCCCTAGAAGGTGTGAACAATGTTGTGTTAGAAGGGATGTAAGGTGTGTGCCCTCCCCTGCCCCCAAGCCTTCCACTTATCTCCCCCATCACCCAATTCTCCTTTCTCTAAGAAGTCAGAAAAGATGTGAGCACGTCTCACCTCCAGGGCTGTCAACTTCTGGCTCCTCCTTGCAGCTGAAATCTCCGTAGACAGCAGTGGCCTGGGCCCCGGGCTCATTGAGCAGGTACCCCTTCCCATCCACATGTGTCGGCTGCCACTCTGGCTGCTCCAAGAGCTGGGGACAGAGGAGCAAGGAGCCGTCAGCTGCCTTCCGGTGCAGCTCACCCTATAACCCTATCCTTGATGAGCCAACGCTTTCCAGCCAGGAACACACCCTTGACCATTTCCAGGTTGTCATATGGGTGCAGACATACAGAGCAGTCAGGACAAGGGCAGGAGGCAGAAATGCACGCTGGCCCCGGGGCCTCAGTTCACTTCCCCCCTTCTCCCATGTCCACCCTCTCAATGCTGTAAGGAAACACCAGCTGGGAGTGTTGCGTAAAGTAAAGGTTAGCATAACAAGTCAAGAAAAATGACTAGCAAAACCAGAGATAAGGAACTAGGCCCATGTGTCAATTTTCTGTGCTGATGGAGTAGGGCCAGGGTACGACTCCTATAAAAAGTTTCTTAGGTGTACTTTTAAAACTGAAACAGTAAAACAAACAAACTAAATCAATTTGCTTGAAAAAAAATAAGAAAAAAAAGTCAGCCATCATATTACAGATCCCAGCAGCTGATTATTGAAACCTGATGTGCATTTCCCAAACTCGCAGGGCTGGGGCAAGTTGGGGCGGAGGACGTGGGCCAGGCACCCGACATGATGCTGGCTGACTCAGAGCCATCTGAGGCCCCAGGCCTGCTTCCCACCTGTCCTCACTGCCTATGTCTTTCCCCACCAGCCAAGGAGGGCCGTGGTCCCCAACCATGCCCACAAGACACTCGTGGGACTGTGTAAGCAGCCAAGTGACACACCGCCAGTGTGGAAGCTCTCCCTGGTTTCTCGCCTCACTGAGCAGCAGCTACCTAAAAGAGCACCCAGCTAGCAAGGGTCTTTACCTTCATGATGTCCTCCGGTAATTTCCCTTCCTCATCCTCATCTGTCGCAGCTGTGGATGGGGAAGAGCAGAGGAATGAGCTGGAGTCCCCTCAGTTCCAGCCCCACCAGCTCCTGCTGCGCCTTCAGACACGCGCACACACGCACACACACACATAGTCTCTCTCTCTCCTTCTCTCTCTCTCTCCCTGGCTCCCCAGTGGACATCTGCCTGCCCTGGAGATTCCAGAACAGGACATGGCCTGGTGACTCAGCCTCCCAAACTCTGAGACCACACCTCTTCCCACCCCCTCACTTCCTTCCTCACTCTCAGACACTGGGCTGCAGAAGAGCCAGGACAATCAGCTATGTTAGACCAAAAAGTAGCCCTGGGTCCAGGCCCCCGCTCCTGCTCTCACCAGCCCACCACTGGCCTGCAGTCTGCTCTGACCGGCCTTCCTTATGCCAGAACAGCTCGCCTCATCCCCACAGGGGCTGGCAGTGGGCACCTCAGTCAGCTCGAAGCCAGTAGGGTTTTGGGCATCCTTTCTCCCCTGGACCTGCAAGCCAGGCCCCTGTACCACTAACCTTCAGAGGCGGAGGGCATGGGAGACACCTGGAAGCTGTACAGGTCACTGGTGCTGTCCGGCACGATGTCCCCCCAGGAGGGGAGAGTGCTATGTGGTGACAGTGCTGGGGGACAGCAGAAGCCACAGGTCAAGACTATGCTTTCTCCCCATCCCACAGCCAGCTCTGACAGGCCACCCACCACCAGCACAAGGATAGGAGCCATCCCCCAACCTGGGGGCACCCTGCCAGGCCCGGCCCACCTCACCTGGAGTGAGGGCCTGTTCCACTTCCGAGTCCTGCCCAATGTAGCCTTGGGCAGTGTAGCCACTGTGGTCATCAGGCAGGGTGGAGCTGCTGAGTCCATCAGAGAAGGTGTCTGGGCTGGAATCCCCACAGGACTGCTGAGGGAGAAAGCAGCTGAGGCCCAGGCAGCACCTCTTGCACGGCTCACCAGGACCCACAAGTGACCAAAGGCCCAGCTGCTTAGCAACACACTCACCTTCCTCTTGGCCTTGCCCTTAGCATCTCGGGTGGACTTGGACTTTCTCTCTGTGGGGCAAACAGGCTGTCAGCCTTGGCAGAGTGTGCTGGCCTCAGCTGAACTGCTTCCTTCCTCCCTCCCCCCCTCCCCAAGGATGGAGCCCTTGGGTACCTTTCCTCTGGTTCCTGGTGAGGGGCGGGAGCATCCGGTACACCCGCACGGCCGAGCTGCCCTTGTTCCTGCTCTGGTCCTTCACCTCCTCGATGTCTGGCAGGGAGTTCATGGCACAGCGGAAGTTGGCCTTCCACGTCTTGGGATCTGGCTCCTTTTCCCCAGCTTTGTATCGGCCTAGAGAGCAAGAGAGTGAACAGGATCGTCAGGGCCACAGGTGGGAAGCCTCAGCTGCCCCTGCCCGGGAGGAGGAAATACCCATGAGCTGTCATGTAACCAGAGACTCACGCTGGTCACACCAGCAGGGATTCCTGGGTGTCACCATCTGCAGCCCCTAGGCCCTGAGAATTCTTAATGCCCAGCCTGGCATCTGGGCATCAGATCCATCCAGGAGGTCCATGCCAAAGGCTCTGCCAGGAGCACTGGCCCATATCCCTGAAAGCATGTTCTCTGTGTCCCAGACCATGCCCAGTCCGCCTCCCAGGCTATCAGGGGCCGGAGGCTAGAGACTGGGATTCTCTGATGTTTCTAAACGTGGGCGAGGACACAGAGTGGGCACCAAAGGGCAGTTACTAGGAGGTGGGCTGGCTGTGTTGAGATGGGGCAAGAGTGGCTGACCACATGGACCTGCGTCCAAGGACCTCGGGCAGCACCAAGAGAAAGGCAGTTCTGAGTGTCCTTTGCTACCCTGGCTCCCATCTTTTCATAGCTCCTTTTTGATGGGGAGGACTTAAGTGTAGACACAAACTCCCTGAAGCCAGACTCTCATAAGGTTTGGGCTTTGCAAAGCCCTCTGAGAATTTACTGCAGTGACGGACCCTCTCCTCCAGGAGCCCAGGTGTGCCCCCTGCTCCCGACCCCAGGAGTTCTGCACAGCATCACAGGAACCCCAGAGAACAGCCTGTGTTGTCGTCAGGGCCTGCCTTTGTCTCTTCACCTGTGTGAATGGCCCAGCTCCGGAACAGACAGGCGTCCTTGTTGATGTCCCAGCCGTGCTTGGCGGCGTGCTTCCACGGGATCTGGAAGATCATCTCCTCCTGGGCAACACACAAACAAGGCTGTGTCAGCGCAGAGCCCACGGGCTTGGGCCAGAGTCTGCCCAGCTTCCCAGGCCTGAGAAAATCCTCACTTCCTCTTTTCCCCCTGACATCTGGCTCGGGTGGACCCATGTTCGACTAGGCCTCTTGGGAAGATCTCCAGGTTCTCACGAGCTGAGCACCACCATGGGGAGCTCCTCCTGCCTGGGGCAGATGTGCTACAGCCCCACAGAGCACCCTCCCCGCAGTCCTGGGTCTGAAGCTCCAGGCTAAGAACCTCTTCCATCCACACCCCAAGGGAGCCCTGAGCCAGACTTGGGAGCCGTCTACCTGTGTGACCCTGGGCACTGTCACTGCACCGCTCTGCTGCTCACAAGAAGACCAAGGTCTTCACTGTTGTGACTACTGAAGGTGAACACTGGGTTTTGAGACTGTTCAGATTTTGGCTTTATCACTTTTTGTGTGATCTTGTTAGCTGCTTCTCAGTGCCTCAGCTTCCCTACCTGAAAACGACACCAATGGGATCTGACATGACAGCACGTAAGATACACTGAGCACATGTCAGGCACACAGCTGTGACTGTGAAGACAGTGCTATTATTGCTGTGAGACTCCTGGGTCAACTCTGCCCCAAGTGCACCCTCTATAGGCTTCTGGGGCCAGAGCAATCGGTGCGTGATTAATTCTTGGGTCCTCGGCTGAGCCAGCTGCCTTCCTGCCCAGCGAGGCCCAGTTCTCTGCTCCTGTGTGGCTATGGGCCGTGGTTCTTTGTCCAGATCCCCATCAGGGGAGTCAGAGCTGGAATTCTGCAGATGCTAGGGGAGTCCTGCTGCTGGAAGCTGTCAGTGCCTGCAGTCCCACCCAGGAAGGGAGGAAGGCAAGACAGGGCGAGTGGGGCCCAATGGGGCTTTGCGAGCTCCCTGCATGTGGGACCCACTGGGAAACAAATCTGCCCACCCCCCTTATCACTTCCCTTTTTAAGCCGTATCTGCAGCTCTGGTCTCCTGAAGAACATGGGTTAACACAGTGGCAGGGAAAAGCCCCACGAGTAGCACTCACTTTATTAATCCAGATCAGCCCGGGGATCTGGTTGGAATTAATCTGCATCTCTAGCCAGGGTCTCATGCGCATCCGAGTGATGGGCATGTTGCCTGTGAAGAGAAGACAGAAAGCCCCTGCTTGGAGTCTGTTGAGCAGTCCCTGGGCACTGCCCTGCCCCACCCCAGGTCACTTCATTACCCTCCCCTGCCCACGCTTGAGGTCACTACCCTCCCCTGCCCTCAGCCAGGCACCAGGTACTACAGTTGGGGGGGTGGGGGGGCGGCCTGCGGTGGAATAAAACTGCTCTCCAAATCGCCCCTCCCAGCCAGTCTCCAGAGGAGACTGGCAAGCAAGTTGATGGCTTCAGGATTTATGTGCAGGAAAAGTGACAAAGGCCACAGATAATCTCAATGTCCTAAGTTTCCTTTCAAAAATCCAAATCCTTTGGGAAGGGAAGGGCTGCTTTTGCTGGATGCCAAAAAGAAATTCCCTGGACGTGGGCTGTGCACGCCAGCTGTGCACCTTCCCTAACGGGCAAGCAGTCGCCCTGGGGCCCGGACACACACACTGTGGCCCCGAAGGCCACAGTGCCCACCACGCTGAGGTCGGGACGCTAACCCCTTCGGCCTGCTCTCCCCTCCTGCAGGAAAGTGGCCCAAGGAGCACCTGTGGCTCCTCCTCCAGCAGCCTCCCTAGGTCACGACGCCCTGGGGCCGTCCGGGACAGCCGGTCAGCCTCTGGCATCAGCTCGGGGAGCCCAAAATCTGGGGCCTGAGCGCGCAGCTGGGGCCGCAGGAAGCAGGCGGTCACTTGCGTCCCCGCGCGGCGCGTGGATGCGCGCGGCAGGCGGACCGGGCCACCCAGAGGCCCCGGCGGCCCCGCGCACTCGGATCTGCGAAAGCGGCCGCTGGGCGGTCCACGCCGCGGCCCGCCCTCCCGCCCGCCCGCGCCTCGGGCGCCCTCCCGCGCCCGCGTCTCTCGGGGCCGGGGTACTGGTTCGGGCCGCGTTTCCTGGTGCCCCGCGCCCCGACTGCTGCGCTCACGCCGTCCCCCGCCGCGAAGGCGCTCTCACCTCTGCAGCAGGAGCCGTCGGCTGTGCGGACTCTTGGGGCGTGAGGACGCGCGCAGCGTAGAGAAGGCGGAGGATGCCTGGGTCTCGGGGCCGCTGGGCACTGCCGGCCTCTCTCGGCCCGGCTCGGGCGCACGTCTTACCCCGACGAAGGAGTGATGCGCTCTGCCCCAGCAGCGGCGCCGCAGAGAAATCTAAACACTTAGCGGGATTCCCCCAGCCCAGGCCCGGCCCCGCCCTCCGGGGCCGCGCGGGCGCCCATTGGCCGGCGCCGCCTCATCATTTCGGGGAAATCAGGCTGTTGTAGAGCTAGCGGCGAAGGGGAAGTACAGGGCGGCTGCTCCTCCCCACCCCTCCGGCCGGGCGCCGCCGCCCCGCGGCCACCGCGGCCCGCCCCTCGCCTCCCACCCCGCCCCCGCCTGGAGACTGGAGAGCCTGGCTACGCGGGAGAGCCAGACGCCCCCCGACACACTGCTCCCGAGACCACTGACCCCCGCCAGCACCTCCCCGGCCTGCGGGCACCAGACGAGGTGCGCCTCTTTGGGTGACACCAATACCTGGCGCAGGGGAGGGACTCACCCGGGCAACTGCCGACCTCTGCTGAGGGTTCAACGAGACTGGATCCCCGAAAACCACCTGGCCCCTCAAGCTCGCTAACGGGAGTTTCGGCCCTCACTGCCTGGGTAGAGGGGTAACGCAGGATCCCCACCTGCCCCGGAGAGGTTAAGGAGGTGGGAAGCCCACCTTTCCTGTGGAGCAGAAGGGGCTGCAGGGCGAGAGCCCCCAGGCTGGCCGCTACTGGCACAGCCAAGACAGGACTTGGGCCAGATTCCTCGACGACAGCCTCCAGGAGCCGCGCGTAGCTGGTGTGCTGTTGGGGGGCGGGGGGTGGTGTCGCGCCGCAGCAGGTGCTGCCTGGCTGTCAAGGTCTCTGCCCCGGGGGTCTAACCGTGACCAATGACGCCCCTCCCCTTTTCAAGCTGCACGCGAGAGGAGAAGGGATTCAGAGAGGCCAGGGCTGGCTGGGACGCCTCTGAGCTTCCCCCTGGGTCTTGCACGGGAGCCCCTTGTAGGTGTGGTTTCTGGGTGCGCCTGGCATGGCCCAGGGAGATTCAGGGCAGCATAGAGCTGGGCAGGGTGATCTGAGGGCTCGTGGGCCCTGATGCGGGCCTCTTGGTAAAGGCAGTAACTTGGCGCTGGCACTTGTGGCTAAACCTTGTCCCGCACCCCACCTTGTGCTCCCAGAGGCTGGGCCCGGCCTTTATTTTCCATCCAGAACTCTGGCCCAGCAGGCACCTTCCGCCACCTGCCTGAAGCTGCTGACTCAGAGGTAAATCGCTCTTCCAGGTCTGTCACTGCTCTCACCCCAGCTCTCCTGGTGAGGCAGCAGCTGTTGACCATGATGCTGGTTAAAAATAGACAAGTTGGTGGTGCATTCCCCCTGTCAGTTACTCTTCTGCCTCCCTCCTACTGAGGCCAGGGATGGGCTAATCCAGATCTGTACCCCAGAACTGGCCCAGCCTGGTTCCTAGCAGGCCAGTGGGAACGGTCAGTAGCTATGGAAACAAAGGGGCAGGAGGCAGGAACCTAGCAGGTGGAAGGCACTGAGGCCCTGGATAGGGAGAGGGGAGTTTGGGGTTCCCTAAGTGACAAGTGGGAGTGAGAAGCTGTCACAGGGACCAAGATCTGAGCAAGAAGAGGAGAAAACAAGTGGCTCCTGACTCATGAAGTTCGTGTCCTATTGCTGGGAACCTGACAAACACTGAAAAATTCAGAATGAGATTATGGAGAGGAAGTTCGCATCTCTGGTGGCCTATGGAATTGACAGCAGCAGTCCTGGGAGGACAGCAGGAGGTTGTACTAAATACTTAAAATAAAAACTTGATTTTAGTTCACAGTCACCCGTATCTACACATGTATACACGGTGAGCAACTTTCCACATAGTGAAATACATGCCTGCAATGTCATTTGTAATGGGTACATATTATTCTATTAGAACAATAAATAAAAATTTACCCAATTAATCCCCTATTGTAGGGCATTTAGGTTATTTCCAATTTTTCATAATACAAATGACACTGTTAGCTGAATCTCTGTGCACATCAATAATTTTTGGCTTAGGAGAAATTCCCCAGTGTTAGGATGAAACTGTCCTTGACGTCTTGAAAGTGCTCTTTGGCATTTTTTTTCTATTAGCCTTAGAGATTCCTATTTTCTTTTGAAGTCTGTAAGAATCTGCTTATCATGTTGTGGGGTGGTATATCCCAGGTCAGTGAAATAAAGCTAAACCCTGTCCAGGCTCCCTAGGTTTTTATTTGATGAATCCCATTTCAAAACGCACCACACCTTCCCTGTGATGCTGAGCAAACACGCAGCCTGTCTGGGCTCTCCTGAGTAACTCAGGGCCTGGCCTCTTTGCTCTCCGACTGCAGGCATTAATCCAGCCATCTCCTCATGGCACGCGTCCTCCAAAACCAAGCTCTGATGGCCTACTAGGTATTTTCCTACAACCCCATTCACACAGAGTCTCTCTGTCTCAGATGAGAGCACACACACACACACACACACACAGCTCTCCACCTGGCTGTCCAGCCCCCTGCAGCTTTCTCTTTTCTAATTCTGTCTCCCTGCCTTTGCATCCTCCACCTTCCCGGTGCCTCGCCTGATGCGGAGCTCTGCCTTCCCTGCCTCACATTCCAGGAACACAGTGGTGCCGCGTGCGGCAGCCTCCCCACCCCGCCCCCCGTCGGGCCCAGGGCGCCTCTGCACTGGAATCATCTCCCTGACTCTGATGTTCTCCCTAACATTCAGGTCCACCCAGGCGGCTTCTGAGCGCTCCTACACACACACACACACACACACACACACACCACGCACTCCCACGCAAATCCCACTCAGCCTTCTGTTCCCTACTCTTGACAGTAACCAGAGGGGCATGGAGAGAGAACCCAGGTTTAAGTGTGAAAGCTTGAGTTTTTGCTGTGCTGTTGTCTCCTGCTGGGTAATCTTAGGTACGTCACTGTCCGACACTGGGCTTCCTTTTCTCATCTGTAAAACAGATCATCTCCGTGCCTCTCTCCTAACTGTTGTGCGGACTGTGCAACAACATCATAGGTGGTCATTGTCTTGTGCTGAGCTCCTGTCCTAGCGTGACCAAAATGGAGTCACTCACTAAATAGCACATAAACTGAAACTTTAAGGAAGTAGATGCTGGAATAGATGAGGATTCCACCTGAGTTAGCATAATAAGGAAGTCCCCTCTGCTTCAAGGCTTACAAAACTAACTTGAAGTATTCTGATGTTGACCAATCAGGGTGTTTTTTTTTTTTTTTTTTTTTTTTTTTGCCATATTATATCATTTCCTTTTCCCCACTTTACAAAACCCACTTTTTTGCTACTGCCAGAAGCAGCTCTCCCTGGTGTTTTGTAGAATGGAGGCTGCTCGATTCATGTATCACAGATTAAAGCCAATTCAACCTACAGCTGTGTGTGTGCCTCTGTCCTTTCACAAGCTGAAATGGGGTAGACCACCCAACCCTTTCCCAACGGCCAGCACCCGCCAAGGCCTTTGCCAGCGTTTCTGCTCCCTGAGCTCACCTTGGGTCTCGCCGTGGCCTCCGCCCTGTCTTCCTGGCACACATAGTAACCCTCACTTCTTTCTCTCCGTCTCCTTCCTCCTCTGCCCTATGCCCACACGCACCTCCACATTGTAGGGCCTACAGCCAACGCCTGGAGTCTGCGGGGTGTGCTCGGGATAGCCGGCTGTTTCCCTCCCTGCACACCCTAGCCTTCCACTTTCCCACGCAGTCCCCTCTTCCCTTCTCACCTTCTGGGGGACGAAGTCTGTGTTTTCTGTAAGAGCCCTAAGCAGGTTCAGCCCCAGCAGCAGCACGCCCCACACTCTGGGGTCAGCTCTCACCCCCAGGATGCCTCCTGCTCACTCCTTCACTCAGCAAGGGCGAACTTACCAGGCAGCATCTTGCTTTAGGCCCTGGGGTTTTCTGGGCTGGCCAAATGGGCTGATTGGCTGGCAAGGCCTGTTGTGAGGTGACAAAGCCATGAGGATGCTGGGGGCAAGATCCCCCTACACACACATCCTGTGGGAGCCTCTCCCTTAATGGAGCAAATCCTGTTCCCAGCCCCGTCTGTAGGCTCTCAGAGCACTGCACCCCTAGAAGGGCTCTAGGTAGTCCCCAAAGCCAAGAAACCTGGCTCCCAACCCATCACCTGTGCACACAGACATGCAGATGCACACACACCAACATGCACACATACCACCAGGCACGCACACACACAGAGACCACAGGAAGGTGACACTGCAGTCTAAGCTCTCCCAGTCCGAGCTGCTGGCACTTAGGAGACGCTCAGGAAATCCTTGTTGATTGTCGGGAATTTGATGCTCACTCATTCTCAGACTATTCTCTCTGTCATAGATGCTTGTGGCCAAGTCCTCTGCTGACAGAGGTGCCTATGGAGTGGGAAATGTTCTTAGAAATCAGAGTGGAGGGGGGGGGGGCATGGGAGACCTGGAAGAAGATTCTGGCTCCTGGCTTCAGCCTGGGGAGTGAACTGGATGGAAGATCTCTCTCTCCCTCTCTAACTCTGTCAAATAAAAAAAATCTTGAAAAAAATCGGCATGCCGGCGCTGTGGCTCAATAGGCTAATCCTCCACCTGCGGAACCAGCACTCGGGGTTCTAGTCCCGGCTGAGGCGCTGGTTCTGTCCCAGTTGCTCCTCTTCCAGGCCAGCTCTCTGCTGTGGCCAGGGAGTGCAGTGGAGGATGGCCCAAGTGCTTGGGCCCTGCACCTGCATGGGAGACCAGGAGAAGCACCTGGCCCCTGGCTTCGGATCCGTGCAGCACCAGCTGTAGTGGCCATCTGGGGAGTAAACCAACAGAAGGAAGACCTTTCTCTCTGTCTCTCTCTCTCACTGTCTAACTCTGCCTGTGCAAAAAAAAAAAAAAAAAAAAAAAAAAAAAATCGGTGGGGGTGGGGATGGGTCGTTTAGTCTAGTGGTTGACAATCACCTCCTAAGTTGCTGATTTGTGTTTGGCTCTGGCTGTGGGCTGCCTCTCGCTGCCCATGCAGGCCTGATGAGGCAGTGGTGATGACTCAAGTGGTTGGGTACCTGCCATTCAAGTGGGACACTGGGTTGAGTTCCAGCTCCTGTTCCGGCCTGGCGTAGCCTTGGCGATTGTGGGTCTT